TTTTCTTCCCGATCATGCAAGTGCATCACTGCTATGTACTTTGTCTGAATACTAAGCTGAAGCGTGTGGATATCATTGATAGCTCATCTGTTAGAGCGCGCAATATTGATAAATACGGGGAAATGCCTCAAATAGTGGTACGCAATAATATTATGTACGTAACTAGTACTTAGAGTAAGGTGCACTGTCGTAATTATTTTTGTACGTGATAAATTAAATTATTGTTGTGCAGATAAATATGTTTGTGAAGTACATGGATTCAAGAAATATGATGACCAAATCTGAGAAAGTCAGGAAGGCAACACCTAAGAAATATGATGACATAAGGCGCAGTGGAACCATGAAAGGACTCAAATACTAACTGCTTCGTTGATGACTGTGCAACCCCGCTCTGAAGGGAAAGAAGAATCTCTTTCTGATCTTTAATAATGCCTGAACACTGTTGCAAGTAACTTGGGTTATTTTCAACAAGAGCCATGCATGCATATATATCAGACCATAGAGAGTTTACACACATCTTATTCTCCTGTAATGTGACATTTTGCTGAAATACAGAATCAGAGATTTCGGACAACGGTTTGATTAAACCCTTCTTACACCAACGGGTATTTACAAAATGTTCTGGAATCTGTTCAACTTTCAAATCTTTTAAGACAAGAAAGATGTGACGACAAACCAAACCAATCCGCTGGAAGAATTTACAACTACACTCCGCCTTCATATCTGAAATTTCAAATTGAAATTTAAACACCAAATTCCGATCATCACATATTTCATAGTCAAATACACCATCACGGCCATCAAGATGTAACACGCGACATGCAAAACAAGCTGAACATATTTCCGTTTGCAGGTCATAAAAAACAGAGAGCGTGAAAACATCAGCGGCTGCCTTTTCTATTGTTAAAGGTGTCTTGAGATCTGGAATGTAAGACTCCGAATCAGAATTCAATTTGTCATTATTATGCCTCTGTGCATCCATTGCACTCTCAAACTGCATTAAAAATTCAACTAAGCTAAAGTGTGGGTTAGTAAATTCCCGAAAGAAGGAATTCTCACTCTTAGAGCGCGACGTGGTACGAAGCAAACCAGCCATAAAAGTATCTCTAAAATAAGAAGGAATCCACCATCTGCGCAACTCAAACATGTGACAAAACCAATCATGTGCTGTCAAGTCATATTCTTTCATGATAGTTGTCCACTTATCTTCAAACTGGGTTGTGTCAAGATAATGACTCCACACAATTGAATTCAATGACGACATAAAAGCTTGATTATTACTTAAGACCGGACCTACCTTCTGTGTCACTTTTGACATAATATGCCACATACAACACCGATGTTTGGAAGTTGAAAAAACCTTCTCAATTGCAATGCGCATAGCTGAGTCTTGGTTTGTAATAATGCAGGTCGGTTCACGTCCCATTGCATGCATGAAACGTGTGAAAAGCCAAGTGTAGGAATCCACATCCTCCTTAAGTAACAAACCGGCACCAAACGTAATGCACTTTTGGTGATTATCAACGCCGGTGAAAGGACCGAAGACCATATTGTACCTGCCAATATAATAAATAGAATGTACGAATCAGCAACCAAATGGTAGGTGCATAATTCAGTTATGATAGATGCAAACCACATATGGTCAAGGTGCACATAATTCAAATATTTGAATAAAATTCAAATAATTCGTCTGGAGTAGAAAAAAACAAACCTATTTGTTCCATAGGTAGCATCAAATGAAACAACATCACCAAAGAGTGCATAGTTCTTGCGGCAAATGGGATCCGCCCAAAACAATCTTGTGAGCTGGTCACTATCATCAACATCATAAGGTCGCGCTCAAAGTTCTTAAAATTCACAACAGTCACGCCAATGTTAGAATAACCCCCTACAGTCTCCTTATACAACCTATATGATTTCTTTGTACCAATATTTGCTCTAAAACAATTTAAAACAAACTTTTGCTGACCGAGATCTAAATTCCTATTAACTTTTAGGAATTGTTTTGACTGTTCAGAACACATGGAATGATTGTGACGCTCCTCAAACGCAAAGACAGAAAAACCATCATTACCAGCAAATTTTAGAGTTAAAAGTGCTTTGCATCCAATCCTATTTGACACCCGTTTTCTATTTTGCTTACTACCTTTTGATGTGGAAACACCATTATCAACGACAGCAGGGACATCGGTATTAACTACTTTAATATGTCCATTATTCTTATAACCTGCTCTACTATATAACAAATAATTCAACTTAGGATGACCATCCTTGGCCTTCGTTAATGTATGCTTACGAACCGTGAAACCCACTTCAGCTGCATACACTTTGTAAAATTCAATGCCAGCTTCTAGATCAGGAAAGAGCATGCGAACAAATGGTTTCTTATTAGGTTGACATTCAGGAGTCCAATACTTTGTAGAACCAGGAGAAATTTCTAAATTACATTTCACACCTATATAAAAGAAATAACACCCAAAAAAATAAAAATTGGATATAAGAAAAAATGGATAAAAATAAACGTCTTTGAATTCGAAGTGCACCATGAATAAAATATTTCTGCATGTTACCTACGAACTTTGACTAGGAGGAAAAAATGAAAAAAAATTCAAGCTATGTTTGAAAGGAAGGGATGTAAAACTACTCTAGTGAATCCTTGTGCATGCAAACCGCAAACCATAAACAACCATGAATTTCACAGAAGTATAATGTGACAGTAGCATTGCTAATTATTTTATCAATTTTCATTTTAAATGAAAAAACAACATAATCTGCAACTCTTAGGCGTTAAATGACAGTTGAGATTTTTTGGAGTCAAACACAATTCCTACGCCATTCTCATAGAAGTTTTTTTGTATTCAAATTCAGATCATGAACCACACCTGATTCAGATTCCACGGCGTTTGAGGACATCCTGATTAACCTAGCCTTTCAACGACACAAGAATGGAGAGAAGGAGATGAAGCGCAGGGATGAGATGAAGCGCAGCGGTTACTCGAGCAGGATTACGTGGTGTTGATCGCAATTATGGAAACAGAGTATTAAGGGAAGAGAGCTGGAACGTGATTCTATTTCCATGTTTAAACAAAGTTGCATTGCCCAAAAAACCCTCACGTGGATTCGGTGTAGGGCGTACAGGCGCAAAGAAAATTGGCTTAGATGGAGGGCTGTGATTAGTTTGCATTTTGTAAATGCTAACCTACAAACTAATCCCAGCCCTCCATTTTGATTAGATTACCATGGAGTTGATTCCTTAATTGAGGGGTTTATTGGTCTTTTTCATTTATATTATTTTTGGAAAAAATAATCACTCTAGCTTTCTGTAACTGATTGCATCGGTTTCTTCCTTTTCTCCTGCCACGATCACCATCAAGGCATCAACACATCCTTCTCCATTTCCATAACCACCTATTTCCCTTTCTTCTTTCATTCCACCTTTTCCATCGATCGTGGTTTGTCCATCAATATGTGATTACTTCAGGATATCAAAGCTTCTCTCCATCTCGATCTTCATCTCAAATTTAAAACAATATGATTAGTGTTTTTCTATTTGAATTCCATGGATTCTGCACACACAGGGAGAACATAAGTTCTCAAATGCCATGGATTCCGTTATAAAGTTGAATTGATACGCCGATTTTTTTTAATTCTATTGTTTTGGTTTTCATATCAATTCAACAATTTCGTTATTCCAAGTTGTTGCGATTTTAGTGATCTATCTTTTTAATAAATTCTTCACATGGTTATCTCCTTCTCAAATCACTTCTTTGTCATATGAATATAACAGAATAATGAGGTCGTTATCTCTGTTATCATGGATACATAGATAATGATCATATATGATGCATCTAAATCTCATGATTTTCGTATGCATGAAAATTGAGTTTAGAATGCAGATGTCGTAACTATAAGATGCATCATATGGTCTCTTAAGATGCATGTAAAATTCGTTTTACATCTTTGGCCTTCCTTAACTTCCTTTTCGTTAATGTCAATTTCTAAACAATTTCTAGGGCCACAGAGAAGGGATGATCTTGCTTATAGGGATTTTTATCTCAAATTTGTTCTGAAGGAAGGGGTACGATGCTTGAGGAGGTACAAGGTTAATTAACAGGTTATGCAGCTAATTGCCAGAGCATTGTGGTGGTTTTTTTTATCAAGTTCTACAAAGAGTTTGTAGTTGTAGTTTTCCCCATGATGATAGTAGGAATTACCTTGTAAATAAATAGGATTTGATAATATGAATACGTTTATTTAGTTATGTTGTTTTGTTATTTTTTTCATATATTGGTATGTTAAATGTAAACAAATTTGAGAAATGAATCTATTATATTTTTCCATATATTGCACTTTATAGCACTTTGAAATGCATTTTCTAATGCAATTATATGCATAATAATTTCATCTCTTTATTAAATATACTTCACTAAAGAGGGTACTTGTTATTTTGTTATTTGTATCAAATAGTTACGTGTTATATGACGGTATATGAAATTAGTGAATGCATTTCATAGTATGTATTCCTGCTTTTTATAGACCGCCTCTTTGCATAATTAATATAGATAAATCTATTTAACTCTTTTGATTTGAAATAATAAATCTATTATGCGTACAATATGCACCTTATATATCACAATGGTGCATCATCATGTGATATGTAATGCATAGTTCACTATCTCTTCTCAAATTGTTAATGTTATTGAACTAACCTATTCATCCAAACTCATATAACACTTAATTGCATTCAAAACTCAGATGCTCATACCCTACTTCAACAATAATAATAAACCGACACTGAGAAATGCTTTCAAACTTTATTGTCACAATATATTCACACGTGACAATGAAAAATATGTTCATGTATATTCATACTTTTTCAAATTCAGGGTAACGCTATACCCACATCATAGTCCAATTTTATGTTATATATCTCAAACGTATAATGATGCATACTATTGCTCATTGCAGTGCATTATTCAAGCTCTTAAGATGCAAGTAATCTCATACGAAAACTTCATTCAACAAAAATAAGTGTTTGTATTACACATTCACAAAACAAAGAGTCAACATAGTAGGATCTGTCATGAATGATGTCTCATTACTAATGGCATGTAAAAACTTCCATAGATGTCCACTCACACAAGAAGATATGTCATAATAGTTTTTCAAGTAAAATGAAAACAAAAACACATGTTGTCTGAATCAACTCCCACCATGGTGCATTCATCCTCTATGGTTTATTTGTATCTACAAAATCTTCCACCTCTCCTTCTCTTTATGCTCAGTGCCAGTCTTCCACTATCTTTTCTACTTATCTCAACACCTGCATAGTTACCACAATATCATTGCATTACTAGATGACAAATGCAATTTATAAAATTAAACTCCATAACAAATTAAACAACAATTTGTTTTAATGTTTCTTAAAACCTTGTACGTAGTACTACTTTCCTGACTTTGCTTCTCATTTCAGCTCTTTGGAATTCATCATGTTGTATATTCATCCTTGCTTGCACCTGTTTTACCAGTGGACCTTCTACTTCTAATGTATTGACAACTATTTAGTTTAGAATTACATAATTTGAAAAGCTTCTCATTGTAACAAAAAACAATTGTCTAACCTTTTTTCTCTCACACATTTGATCTTTTTGTTCTGCTTGATGTTACTTGATGATGCACCTTTTTGTTTTCTTTTCGCTCCTAATACCTGTTGCTCTTCGTCATTTTCTAATATGTACATGCCATTGTTTAGCTTATTTTTATAGAAAATACATCCATGACTAACTAATGCACTATAGATTTGTAATGATGCATTGATATTATATATTAGGCTTGCATCTTATCAAAAAACTTTATGCATACACGAAGCTCAAAGATACAAGTGCAATTATATGTGATTTCAACCATAACATTTGAATTTTACTAAACACATACGACAACCAAAACATGCATAAGGTTGTATTCACTTTCAATCAACATTTAACCAATACCATGCTTTACACAATTCTGAGACCTCCATTTTCATTCTACTTTAAATAAATGCATCTTTTAGCATACACTTATGCATCTATATTTCTCACAAACACAAGTCATATGATTTAATATTCTGCATCTAATATCTTTAAATACTGCATCTTACATCTTCATATTCTGCATCTTACATCTGTTTATAATCCAATTTTCTTATCACCAAAACCTCTGCATTTTACATCTAAATGTATTGCATCGTAAATCCATATGGAAGTCCAATTCCTAGTACCAAAACTCCTGCATCTTACATCTAAAAATCGTGCATATTATTTTGTATTCCCTACGTGCCAGAGCACCTATAGTTACATATAACTGGATTCCACCTAAATTTACAAGAATGAAAAATTTCTCCTCAATATCACAAATTGACAGATGAATGCTTGTAATATGACATTATTCATCCTAAATTTCTCAATAAGATGCATTTCAATGGTCAAATTAAACATGCATCCAAGTTAATGTTTTTGAATCTGTATTGAAATAACCAGCAACTACAAACAAGTACCTTTATCAAACTCATTTTGTATTTCTCTCAATAGGTGTTCCATTTGTAGCGAAGCCATCGCCTGTTATCGTGAATCACTTTGCCTTCCCTGCACTTGGCTTAGCTAGAAACATCCACCAAAAACCTTGCTCCAGGATTTGAAATCGATGATCACTCTGTTTTCAATTGCCAAAGTGTTGCACCTTACCCTTCTCGTCGTTGCTATTCATGGCCGGTTACCCTTGTTAGTGGCCACTTTGCGTAAAATCAGGGTTTCCCAAAGTTAATCACAATTTGGTTTTTGCGGCTTTCTTTTTGGTTTGTTAAATTACTTCCTTAACCTTTTAAATTGATTGCACGCTTAAAAGTTTTTATTCCGTTTTTATTCCCTGCGTGTGAGTGCAGTAGTTTAATATGCATCCCACACGGATAGCTGTCTGTTTTCTCTAATCTAACGGATGTTGTTGGTTTGTAGTTTGCAGTGGAAGCCTAGTTTGAATGGGATCTTCCCCCTATATATACTCATGTTGAAGAATATTCTAGGCCGGATCTATACATGGTAAGGAAAATGATAAGTTTTAGGGTTTCCATGCGTTGAAATCTTTTACATTTATTATTATTAATAATATTACTCCGTATTAATTAGTGGAAACGTTCTTCCGTATTTATTTTCAGTTTGTGTTCGCATTTTTACTACACGTTCATAAAGTACATATTTATATATCCGTATATCATCATAATACATTAATAAGCAAGATTAGAATTTGTTAAAATGATATTTTGATTATTTACGTTAAAATTTTAGCTCACGAGAAATGTTACTTTTGTGAGATTCTAAAATTTTATTTGATCAACGAATTATCTATTTTATATTTTTATCAGATTAACTGTATTTTGTTTATTATTATTATTATTTTTTATTTTTTTATGGTACTTTTTTAATTTTTTTAGGGTGTCACGATGCACTTCTTTCAATGTTGCCTCATTCATCAACATGATTGCATTAACATGTTGTCTCGGGTTTTGCTCTGTATGAGATGGGAGTCTACTCGAATCTTTTGCCTCAAGCCGGCTCACAACACTCGAAATTTGGCTCATTTGGTTCTCCAAATTTTGGATGCTAGATTTTGTTGTCGTCTCTTGAAATTGAACCACGCTTTGTTGCATGGTGGTTGCTGGTAGCAAGAGTTCGAAACATGTCCTCCGTGGACATGTTAGAGTTGGAGCTTTGGCTTTGTTGATTTGGGAATGATTGTTGTTGAGGATTTCCATATCTCAAATTGGGATGATCTCTCCATCCGGGGTTGTAAGTGTTAGAGTGTGGACCGTACCTCTTTTGTTGATGGCCTTGGAAATTCAAGGCGTTGACATGTTCTTCGTGAAATGAAGGGCATGAATCGGTAGGATGCCCTTGTGTTGCACAAATGTCACAGACCTTGACTTCTTGGTTTTTGGGATTTAAAAGAAAAACTTTTACCAAAGAAATCAAGCTGGAAGATAGACGGAAGCGGGGTAGTACCTTTCTAGGAAGCACTTCTTCATTGCCGCCCATGTATCTATACACCCTGAAGGGAGATAGAATAGCCAATCCTTAGTCGTGTCCTTAAGTGAGAATGTAAAGGCTCGTAGCTTGATTTGTTCTTCTGTAACATTGTTCGGTTTCATACTAGTGCAAACTATATGAAACTCCGAAAGATGTTTGTTTGGGTCCTCACCTCGTAGATCATGGAATGAAGGAAGTAGATGGATGAGCCCCGATTTGAGCTCAAATGTAGCACCTTCATCAAGAGTAGGGAAGGTGATACATAGCGGTTGTTGGTTGAAGTTTGGAGCTGCGAGCTCCCTCAATGTTCTTGTCTCGAGAGTCATGTGGACTGACTCTTCGGATTCGCTAGAGCTTAAGCTAGCTTTTGAAGATTCCTCCGAGGGTGTGTGCGAAAATAAATTTCTCAACCTCTCGAAGGCTTGTTCTATTTCGGGATTTGTTTGGTATGCGAGTAGGTTTATAGAACGGGCTTTTACCATATTCTAAAACAAAGCTCAAAAGAATAGAAATCTTTACAATGATTGTTTTTATTTTTATTTTTTATTTTTATTTTTCTTGAAAGAAATAAAAAGAAAAATAATTGTCTTTCCCCGGAAACGGCGCCAAATTTGACGAGCACTTTGTCATAGTGCATCAAAATAAATTCAATACTAACACTTATACGTAGTATAGTGAAGTAGAGTCCGTATCCACAGAGAAAGGAATAAATCTCTTTTTAAATGAAACTAGTAATTAAGGGGAGTTTTTGGTGTTGAATAATTTAATTTAATTAAAAACTAAGATGAACAACTTATATGTGATTTAATTCAAAGATAAAAAGAACTTGGCTTTGCTATTTTCCACTTGTTGATATATTTAGTTGATCCTTGTTATATCTATAACTTATTGTTAGGTCCCCTAGATTTTGATGAACAAGTATTGTTTTGATGATGCCACCCCTTTTTGATATAATATCCCTGTAATAGACTAGCACTTGTATTTGTTCTACTACTGTTTAGTGTTTATTGTAATATGCTCAAAAGTGATAAAGTACCCAAGAAAAACAGAGAGTACTAAAAAAAGAGAAGAAACGTACCATAAAACAGAAAGAAAAGAAAACAAAAAGAAAAAGGTATGAAAAGAGTCAACTGAAGCCCTTTTGAATAAACTAATCAAAGAACCTTCAATGACCTTCTGGTAATACCAGAGAACCTCAACTCTGATGGACATCAGAACTGATCAACTCTGGTGACACCAGAGTAAAGGTCTCTAATATATACCAGAAGACCTTCTGTTATGATCGTAACAGAGAACCTCAAACAACGGTGGTTCTCTATTGACACCAGAACAGAAGACCTCATAGGTATTCTGGTAAGGTATTCTGTTGAGGTATTCTGATCAGAAACTCAACATCTACTATTCTTCTCTTAGCACAGAAATAAGAAGACAGAAGACCCACTTGCAGTCAGAATGACAGAATGCATAGAAAATAATGTTACAAGAAATTATGTGACAAAATTTCTTATAACATTATTTACTAAAAGAAAGTAATCTTATCTTGAGGAAAACATTGAACAATACTCGGCCTAGATACTGAATTTCTGTAAGCTAAAAAGATAAAGATAAATCATCTTATCTTTGCCTTGAAATGAGGAATCAAGTTGAGTGAAGATAAAATGATCCGTGTCACAAGAACACAAGAATCAACCATGCTGCCCAGTCAAGTGAAACAAAGCAAGTAGATCAAGCAACGATCAAGATTAGATCACTCAGCCAATGGAGGAGATTCAACAACAAAGTCTATAAATACAGAAGGAGCGAGGGAAGACCAAGTGTGGGACCAGATGGCAACAAACCCTGGTATATTCGAACCTAGTGGAACAGAAGGGAATCAAGGTTTACAAGAAAACATCCAGCTAGCCGATTCACCTTCACCACTCTGGTTACCACCCCACTCATCTAATGCTCTTAGAATAGCTTATCATTCATACACATCTATAGAGCTTAGATTAGTTGGTAGATTAGTTTAAACCCATGTAAACTAGTCTAGTGTATTCATTCTGGTATGTGTGTGATCATCCAGAAGGTGAGACAAGGACATGAGTAGCTTCTGGCTGGGCAAGCCATTAGTGAAAAACCTTGGACGACATGAGTAGCTTGGAACAGTGTGGTCTCGTGAAAAACCTCACAATCTACGACCGGGTCAGGGGTAGATTGGGCACTAAATGTAATGGGATATTCATTTAGTGGAAAATCCATCCGAAATAGGTTGGGACTGGATGTAGGAGGATTACACCACCTCTGAACCACAATATATCTTGTGTACCTTTTATATTCAGCACCCAACACATACTTCAGTTCTCACTCACCTTCACGCTATCCCAAAGCCTTGCATATTCACTGTCCAGAAAACTCCCTAAAGTTTTCTGTGAATCAAAACTCCTTACCTACGTACTACAAAGAGATCTATGACAATAGGTCTAAATCCTTCACACAAAAGTGTTCTGTCCTCCCATCTCTGTTACAACTAAAAGGGTCATAACCTTTGTTTCTATAAAGTGTCACACTCTTGAGGTCAAGACTTCCGCTGTATGTTTCAAAATCTCCCAAAAGATATTGGAACACATTCTATTTGAGCAAAAAGGGTTGAAAAAGAAAAGATTTTTAGAAGTCTATTCACCCCCCCCCCTTTAGACTTCTACCTCACTTGGGACCATCACTTATCACCTCTCGAATACTCAATCGAGGAGTATATCCAATTCATCGAGGATAGTTATTAACAACGACCGTTCATTAATAACCCTTACTATTAATCAAATATAGAACAACGCCTAATACCGATTTAATAGTAGCATTTAATCTTTCTAACTCCTTGATGAAATCAATTGAGATTAATAACCTCAACACAACGGTTTCAGTTTAATCTCCCACGTTCTTGTGTTTCAGCACGCCGGATTGCCTCCGGTCAAGTCTCACCCGACCGGGTCAGGTAGTGGACCCGACCGGGCCATGTAATTTCCTTGCACTTTTAGTTTTCACTTCTTACCTGACTGGGTGAGAGGTTATATCCGGTTGGGTATTTGCTCCTGGGCAGTCAATTTTTCTTTTTCTTCTAACTATACTTTACAACTTATAAATGACTACTAAAATACAATTACAACTAAAATCAAACAACTGTTTACAAACTAAATAAAATGGTAAACAATCCACACAAATCAAACATGAAAACATACATTTATGCACTACTATTTTGTAGATTTAGTGCATATCAGAAGGTAATTAACCATTCTTTGCATATCATCTTCTTCACACCCAGCTCGGAGTTTTTTCCACTCGTTCCATCTCGGGTTCAGAATGTAGTCTTTTAATGCATCGTTCTTTATGTTGATAGAGCATGAGTGTGAGAGGTTTGGTGTTGTGACAATTCGGGTAAAGTAATATTGGGGTCTTGGAGACTTCCCATTAACATCGCGTCAGAAAAAAATTCTGACGGATGGCCTGAACAAGTAGGTGTATATGATGTTGCTAGTTCTGGACTTCCCCTCAATCCTTAGATAACATGTGTAGAAGATTGACATATGAGGGTTTTATGTGGCTCGACCAAGCTAGTGGTTTTGAGGATGGTTTTTGTTTTGGGCTGTGAATTGGGGTTGAGGTTAGAGGTGGAGGGTTGTGGCTGAGGTTGATGGTAGCTGGAGGCCAGGAGGTATCTTGCTCAAGTATTCACGGTCTTTTCTCTCCCTCATGAGGTTCTGAATGATCAGAAACTTCAAGTACACGTTTAAGGTTGCGGAGACTTTCACTGCAAATGAATTGGGTGTCAAGAAGGTAGACTGGTAGAGAATGGCTTGTGCGTCAGAGGTATGGTTGTTTTTTGTGGATAGGCAGATAAAGAGGATCTCGGGCAAAGATGACTTTTATTACAAAAATGACAATGTGTCTTTATAGTCTTTTTGATCAATTCTACCAAGATAAATTTATAATTTGAAAATTGAGAAGGGTTTGTATTTGATTTCTATTATACGAAGTATATATGTATGTTTTTTTGTTTATATACATACATATGCACTTAATATATAAATATATACAAGTAATATCCGTTAGGTGACAAGTCATTGTGTTGGTATAGGCAAATTATACCGTGGGATCGGCCCACCGTCTACATGGTGTGCCGATCTCACTTTAGTCAATTGATTTCCTTTTCCCTATTCCTAGAGCAACATTTTTTATTTTTATTTTCAATTCTTCTATTTTTCCATCAAATTAAAAAACCCAAAATTTAATTGTAGTTTTATTTTCTTTTATCTTCAACTTAAATTATAATTGAATCTATTTTTTATTTTTATTAATACATAACAAAAAGTTCATCAATCTAAATAAAATTAGTATATTGCATTTCATATTCATACACTATTTTTATTTCTGCAATAGTTTTTATATTCATACACTTTTTTCATTACAATTGTTTTTTAAGGAATTTTTATTGATAATAGGAAAAACAGTACAATGCGATAAAGTTAAAAGCGAAAAACAATACAAAAAGGAAAAGAACGAGGAAACTAATTAATTAACTAATCCCGGGAAGTCTCTGGCTTGAGATCTTGTTCTCATGCTATGACGCCTTTTGTTCTTTTGAATTTTTCTATAGATTTTGAGCTGCTTGTTCAAGTTCTCAGTCGGTAGGCAATTTTCTGTGGTTATGAAATTTTCTTTTCGGCATATTGCTTTATTGAATTTGGACTTCCTGATTTCTTCTGGGTATGGAATAGGAGGACGACGATCATTTTCAGTAGCATGTCCCAAGAAGTCATCAGTGAAGATGGAGTCATCTGAGTGATCAAAATCATCAGAGGCACATGAGTAAGCCTGTATGGTTGGCAACTCGGGTTGTTTCCCATTCGAAAAGACATGTTCATTTTCGCCACCTATCGCTCGAATTTGTTGATGTAGAATCAGTTTGGAGATAGAAATGGGGTCCTCGGATTGTAGTTTGCTCCCATAATGTAGGAGATTGAGTCGTCTTGCGTTGGTGTTGGGACCCCTGCAAAATTAGAAAAAATATTAATGAATTTCAACAGGCTCGAGTTAGTGGGTCCCATTGGTATCTGAATGGATCCACCCTTGTGTTTAGCCATTTTCACAAAGTAGCCGGCGTCTCTGTTAATTTCCATGGAAATAGTGATATCTCCAAATCGTCCTTTTTCCTCAGAATATGAGTGACCAGGGTTTCTAATCTGTGACATGAACTGAACGATTTGGGGAACCAGCTCAAGTTTGAAGTGAATCCTGTGTAGAAGGGACCTTTTAATTTCGAAAAGGACCAAATCTCCATTTTTCACTGAGAACTTGAAAGATTTACTTTCAATTTTGACCGAGTCAAAACCATATTCTCCAAAAAGGAAAAATTTTCACCTAACTTTGAGTAAACCAAGCAGATGGTATTGTGTTTAATCGAGACAACTTTATCAATTGGAAGAGGGGCAAGGCCCTCTGTGACCTGTGGTACGACCACACCTGCTTTGCCTTTGGCCGTGTCCTCCCTGAATAATTCTGCCCATGTGAGGGGTCGTT